GCAGGAGGGAGGGGCAGCAGGAGCACGCAAAACTTCCCACGAGTGGTCCGTCAACGCCTTGCGCCCCCAAACCCCACGGCAACCCCAGCAGCAGGGGAGAGGAGACGATGACAGGGACGACGCGAGGGAAGGGGAGAGGAGCGCGGCAGGAGGAGGATGGGCAGCAGGAGCGCGGACAGCTTCCCACGAGTGGCCCGTGAACGTCTTTCGCCCTCCCAGCCCCACGGCAACCCCAGCAGCAGGGGAGAGGCGACGACGACGGGGACGACGCGAAGGACTGGGGAAGCAGTAGGGACGAAGAGAGGGACCATCGGCGGTGGACAAACCTCCCTTTAGTAAACCTCCCCTTAGCGAAAACAGCCCAAGACCGAAACCGACAGACCTGGACCCGCAAAAATGACGGCCACGACGCCCTCTCGCGAACCGGAAATGGCCAATTCACTAGTCGACGAGTCAGGGTAGGAGGTCTGTCCACCCTTGAGACCACGGGGACGGCGAGAAGGAATGGGGAGAGGACGAGGGGGACGCAGGGCACGGAGACGACGAGGACGAAGCGAAGGGCGGCGACGGCGACGAGGAGGAGCAAGTGGGGGGGGAGAGGAGCGGGGCGGCGAGAAGGAAGGGGGAGAGGACGATGGGGACGCAGGGAGTGGAGGCGATGGCGACGCAGCGGAACTGACGACGACGAGCGACGAGGAGGAAGGAAGCAAGGGGGAGAGTGAAGGGGCCCCAGGACACACAAATGAATACACACAAATAAAAGCATTCGCCATATTTTCCTGTATGTTCTGGGTTTCTGTCTTCCCCCCCACTTCCCATATTTTCCCATATTTTCTGGGGAATCGAGGATTAATTGTGTCTGTGTGTGTTATTCCTCTCCCGAAGGAGGAAGCAAGGGGGGAGCGGTGCGGGGCGGGGCTCTCCCTGCTCCCTGCTCCCCCCCTTCGCTGCTGCCTCCCTGCTGCCTCCCCCCCCCTCCCTCCCTGCTGCGGGTTCCGCCCCTCCCTCCCTGCTGCCTCCCCCCCCCTTCGCGCTGCTCCGCGAGGCCCCGCCTCGCCGCACCACACGCCCTTCCGAAACGCTGAATGGGGCCCTGGGACACACAAAGAAAAATACACACACAGACACACACACACACACACACACACACACACACACGCACACACAAATCACAGGATTCCCCATAAGGGGGAAAACAAACCTACCTCGCTTTTGACCACCCTCGCTTCCAAGAGATACCAAACGATACCAAACTACGGCCTGTACTGGTCAGGCCTCTTGACGAGGAGGCGCGTGGTCTGACTTGGTTTTGCCTGGAAGCGAAAGCGGGGTAGGTCATTCACGCTCTGACATATGTTCTCATATTTTCTGGGTATTTGTCTTCCCCCCCACTTGCCATAGTTTCCAATGCTTTCTGGAACATCGACGACTCATTGTGTCTGTGTGCTTCTTCCCCTCCTGAAGCGTGCGCTGGCGGCCCCTCCCGCGACGGGGGGCCGCCGCGGGGGGGCCGCCGAAGGGCGGCTGCTCCACGGGCGAGGCCGGGCTGCCACGCCACCCGGGGGGGGGGCGCCAGGAGCAGCCGGCGCGGGGAGTCCCGCGCGCAGCTCTCGTGGAGGGGCCCACAGACAGACAGACAGACAGACAGACAGACAGACAGCCAGACAGACAGACAGACAGACAGACAGACAGACAGACAGACAGACAGACAGACAGACAGACAGACAGACAGACAGACAGACAGACAGACAGACAGACAGGCAGGCAGGCAGGCAGGCAGGCAGACAGACAGACAGACAGACAGACAGACAGACAGACAGACACACACCCACACACACACACACGGCATGATTCCCCAGATTTAGGGGAACAAGAAGGGGCGTAAACAGAACATTTCGGAGGTCCGCGCGGATTCCGACGGCAGGGGGGTCCAGCGCGGATCCGAGAAATCCGCGCGGACCTCCGAGCTTTGATGTTAATATCACTTCTTGTTCCCCTAATATTTTCGCATAGTTTCTGGGTGTTTGTCTTCCCCCACACTTCCCATATTTTCCCACCTTTTCCTCGGAGTCGACGATTGATTGTGTCTGTGTGTGTTTCTGTTCCCTCCTGATGTTTTCAAGTAGCGATGTCCTCTGACTGCCCGTGCCGGTGTCTGAGCCAGTCTTAGGTCGGGCATGTCCCCCTACAGGCGGAGTTTGAGCGAAAAGCTCAAACTAGCCCAACACAAAATCTCAAAACATCGAACCATTGGACATAGGCCCAAACAAATGAATCCAAAATCGTCCCCGGACTGTTTTTACTATTTTTGAAAAACCCTCCTGCAGAGAGACACGCTCGACCTAGAGCCAGCCCGAGCGGGACTCGGGGATCTTCTGACCTGGGTCAATCCAGACCCGGGTCAAGCAGGCCGTGCAAGATCCCGCAGGCTCCTGCAACATCCTGCACCCAGGACCCGGGCCCACGCGCAGGATCCCGCAAGATATCCTGCACCCAGACCCGGGTCGGTGCGGCCCTGGCCCCGCAGGAAACTGCAGGATCCAGCGCTCTGGCCGACCCCCGTTTGCATTTGAGCAGGGACCGACCGTCCCGGCATCCCTGTAGTCCTACCACGAAATGTCCTGAGAACCCCAAAAAAGTTCGAATAACAGAAACAATGTTCTTAGAACATGAGCCCCCATGTGCCAAAACGAGACAGCCCCAGCCAGACATGTTCTGAGAACATCTCGTGGACACCACCGAAAAAAGGTCCTTAGAACACTGCTTGGTGGGGCTATCGGAGAGCCAGGTCGCTTCGCCACTGCTTGCGGCATGGGGCCCCCGTCTCCGGAGCCCGCCCGAGCGGGACGGAGGCCGGGCAAGAGGGAGCCGGCGCCTGGGCGGCGCGGCGTCCGGCCCCCGCCGCCTCGCCGACTCCACCCGAGCCCCCCGCCTCGCGCCGGGGAGGCGGCGGCAGTGCTCGGCCGCCGACGCACGCGGTCGACGAACCCTTCGGACGCCCGAAATGGGTACGGCAGGTCCGTGTCGTGTCGACCCCAGCATTGGTTCCTGACACCGCGGGGATCGTTCAACCTTGAACGATCGGCCGTTTCCGAAACGTCCCAATCGCTCCACATCGAACGATTCTGGGTCCCCCGCGGCGTTCAACGCTGAACGCCGCTGGCGGGGTCGCCGCTGGTCGACACGACACGAACCTACCGTACGGAAAAGATGGGAGCAGTGCCCAGCAACAAGTGCTGTCCCGAACCGACGGCGGCCGCTGTTGGGCAGGCGGCCTTGTGCCTCAAGGGGGCACGGGCCGCGGCGGCGCGGACAGCGAGCCCTGCCGAAATGAGCACGAGCTGTTGTTGGGCAGTGTGCCCATTCTTTCCGTACCCATCCTCGATCGTCCCGAAACCCTTGGGTGGCCCAACATGGGGTCCAGCCGAAAGAGGGTGGCGCAAGAACTTTGGGGCGTTCGCATTACGCGCCCCGGGAGAGGCACTGCACGCCCAGATTGCACTGCGACCCCACAGATCGATTGCGCCAAGCCTATTTGAAGGGGCCCCAGGACACACAAATTCGCCGGCCCAACGGACCAGGGCGTGCTAAGATCTCCGGTAACAGGCAAACAGTATTTCTAGTTCGCGCGCGCGGGGCGGCCCCTAGGAGTCCCCGGGCGAAAAGTACCCCGGCAGGTCCCCGGGAGGGTGGGGGTCAGAGATGGCGGACTTCCTGGGCGCGGCCCTGGAGGCCTCTGGAGCACTCCAGGAGCGATCCAAGGAGACGCCAAATATGTGACAGGCCCAGCAGCCTGAAGCCAAGAGCGCCCCAAGACGGCCCAGATGGCCTCAAGACGGCCCAAAATGCTCCCAAGACGCCCAAAGATGCGTCCAAGAGACCTCCCAAGAGGCCCCCAAGAAGCCAAAATTGATGATTTTCTTTGCTTGTTTGAGGATTTTGGCGTTCTCGCCTCTTCGGCTTCCTAGCGCTCCAAGACGGCCCAAAAAGCCCTCAATATCGCCCCCATACGGCCTACGAGGGTTCAAGACCGTTCCGAAACGACCCCAGAGAGCCCTAAGAGACCCCCAGAAACCTCCAAGATGGCCCAAGATGCCTCCAAGACGGCTCCAAGACCGGGCCCCGACGCAGGACCAGAACGGACATTTCGCGCTCTAAGCCGCAAGATGTCCCCAGGAGACCTCATAACGCCCCCAAGAGGCCTCAAGACGGCCCAAGATGCTCCCAAGACGCCCCAAGATGCGTCCAAGAGACCTCCCAAGAGGCCCCCAACAAAGCCGAGGCAACCGCAGGCAAAGCCCGACCGAACCCTGGAACCTCCAGAAAGCGGGGCTCCATTGGCGGACCGCGCCAAACCACAATCCGCGAGCCCCATGAGAGCAGACGATGGCGCCACAAACCACTGACAGCCGCAAACGTCGAACCAACTACACCGGACTGGTGCACCCACCACCGAAAACAACGTCCCCCCCCCCCATCAGCGCAGCATGGCTCACGGACGCGCAGCCAAACCCCAGCGATTACGCATTATGGGCCGGCGGAATGAGCGAAGCGATTGAATAAATACACACAAATAAAAATATTCCCCATATGTTCCCATATTTTCTGGGTTTCTGTCTTGCCCCCCCTTCCTATAGTTTCCCATATTTTCTTAAGGATCGACGATTAATTGTCGGTATGTTTTTTCCCCTCCTGACTATTGCACCACCCCCTTGTCGCCGGACCCCCTCTTGGGTCAACCCGAGAGCTCCGACGCCTCCCCCCGCCGCCCACCGAACTGCCCGAATCGTTGATCGGCGAAATCGAGGGTCATGGGCGTGTGCCACGCGTTTCGGTCCTCCGGGGGCGTTCTCGACGACATGGCCGGATCCGCCTAAAAACTCTGGTCCGAATGCAGCCAGGGTTGCCACCGAATTTCAGAAACGTGGCACATCCTTTATGCGTTTTGTGACCCGCAGGCTCCACCGTGCCTGGGCTGCTGCAGGGGGGGGGGGCGGGAC